GATTGTCTCCGATCGGTGGCCGACAGGTGTTGTCTGTGTATCCAATGGCCAGTTATGAGTGGTTGTGGTTTGGGTCGAGTGTTGAGCGCATCCATCGGTGATAATAGTCTTGTACTGATTCTCCAGGGATTCAATTAAGACCTTATTATTGTGTGAATCGATGCAAACGCTTAATAAAACACTTCTATATTTCTCGAGAAATGAATTACATTTTAAACTGAATTTCAATTCATTTATTAGTCTTTTATTTTCATTATATAACTCTTCAATCAATTCATTGATTACTAATTCACACATTATTTGCTGTCTTTTCACTCATTTAGTGATCAATTAATTCATTAATAATGAAAACAATTAAAACATTTAATAAAACACAACTCAAATCACAGTTTCATTTAAAACTCATTTTTGATTTTTCACAAAAACAATAACAAAACGAGAAAAGCCATGAATTAGAGGCCAACCCATAGATAACGTCTCATAAATAATAATAACTTTTACTAAAACTTGTGCTAATTTTTTACAATAATACAATTTATTACAATTTATAAATAAAATAAATTAATTTTAAATAATTTATAAACCAAGGTAATTATAACTAATAAACATTTAATTTGTTTTAATGTCAATTCAGTTTATTTATATTAAATCTGTGCATTATTTATGGACAACATATAAGACTTGCGCTTATTTTTTGTTGACAAAAATTGTAATACAAACACGTGTTTTGATTGAGTAGTGTTTTATTAATTGTTGTATTAATTGTTTGTTTCAATCATTTTGTGTGAAAAATGCCACAAATGTATAGCAAATCATCTTTCGATAGATTTGGTGACGATTTGTGCGAAGAGTTGTTGTCTTTCCTCACATTTGAAGACCGATTCCGTTGTGAATGTCTATCAAAACAGTGGCAAAGAGTGGTATATATGAGACAATTTGACTTAAATTTTTATAATAAAAGTATAAAGTCTTTGTGTCCTGTAATTCATAATTTGGAAACAATTGAGAAAATACTGATAAAGTGCCCAAACATTACACGTGTTTGTTATCGAGACCTAAACAATCCATTAATTGATTTACTGGTGAAACATTGCAATCATTTAAATCACATTAACTGTTATTATGGCAACAATTCCGTGGATTTAATGAATAAATTTATGATAATATTTGCTAAACAAGTGAAAGACATATCACTAAACGGTTTACCAAAAAATTATATGTCGTATAAATATCTAGAAATGTGTATTAATTTAACTGAAATTCGTCTGTCATTTGATTTATGTAATACTCTTGTATTGAGTGCTGAAAATGGTTTGCATTATAAACGACTCAAAAGTATTGTCTTTTGTTTCAATAATCAAAGGACTATTAATAAGATAACTGACAGTCAATTGATAGCATTTGAATTGTTTGCTCACAATTACGGCCACAATATTAAGTCAATTGGATTCACATTTAGAGGCACTCATTTCGACGACAACATAGTTAACACATTATCGGACGGATTGTCACAAATGCCGGCATTGATTACAATGGAAATGACTTTCTATTGCTGTGAATGGGAGAGAATATTGTCACGAATTGGTCTCAAATGCCCGCAACTCAAGAGTCTTACCATTTATAACCAAAATATGAGTCCAATTGACGCCGACTTTATTGAACGAATCGGTGATAATTATAAACAATTAAAGCGATTGGATATCAATAGTGTTGTCTTTGAAGAAACCATTATAACCTCTCATTCATTGCAATCATTGAAACGATTAACACATTTGAAAGTAAATCAAGAATATTATTGGGAAACAAATAAATTATTGCGAAATTCATTTCCACTTTATATTACGGATGAGTTCTTCGATAATATTGATCACAATTTGCCACAACTTCTGGATCTGAGACTCATTGGAGTCGATATAACCGACGAAGCGTTGGATTCATTGTCAAGACTGACACAAATGCGTTGCATTCAACTCAAAGGTTTTGATTACACTTCAGAAATGTCTGTCAATAATCTGATCACTAATTGTCCTAAAGTTAGTCTTCAATTAATAGACGACTCGTAAACAAAATTTAGTCACAAAAGACATGATTTAAAGTGTTGTCAATACTTCTCATTACTTTTTATTACAAAATTGATCCCAAATTAAAGATTTAAAATATATTTAATATAGTCTTTAATTCTAACACTTAATTAGAAATTACTTTCTTATAAATTAAGTTATAATGAATAACATATAAATCTTTATGAAACATATTTTTGTTATAATAATAATTGTAATAAAATGTAAACACAATTTCAATGCTATTTTATGACAATAAAAATTCATTTCATTTCAATATTACATTATTTACATTATTTTATTAATAAATTATAATAAGATATTGATTTAGTTAAAAATATTGATTGTCAGCAATTAAAACATGCGCTGAGCTTTTGTTTGGCAACTTTTGCAAACACAAAGATTTTGTATCGAATGACAACCACTTGTTTTGATTGAAGTATTGATTTATTAATTGTTTGTTTCAATTATTTTGCGTAAAAATGTCTCAAATCTATAGTAAATCGTCTTTCGATAGATTTGGTGACGACTTATGCGAAGAGTTGTTGTCTTTCCTCACATTTGAAGACCGATTCCGTTGTGAATGTCTATCAAAACAGTGGCAAAGAGTGGTATATATGAGACAATTTGTGTTACCATTTGATAAAAATTTAATTACTAATAATTATGTCATCATTTTTGATACAATTGAGAAAATACTGATAAAGTGTCCAAACATTACACGTATTTGTAATGATATTAGACTAAACGAGTCATTAATTGATTTACTTATAAAACATTGCAATCATTTAAATCACATTAACTGTGGTTTTGAAAATAATTCCATTGATTTAATGAATAAATTTATGTTAAAATTTGGCAAATAATTGAAATCGCGATCAATATATGGGACAATTGAACTCAATGTTGTCGACAACACATTTTATAAATGGTTTAAAATGTGTATTAATTTGACGCAAATTACTTTATTATTTGATCACTTGCCTAAAACTCCTCTCTTATTGAGTCCTGAAAATACTTCTCTTATAAACGGCTTATATTATAAAAGTCTCAAAAGTATTTACTTTTGTGACGGATCTTGGTTTCGGGTACGATCCGTACAGACGGGAACTGATCCGATGACCGGTTTCACCGTCGGGAAGACACATACACGGGCACAACACTGCTGTCGCAACTCACCGACAGACGCGGGAATCGAGAGATTCACGTATGAGGCGCGCGTTTATGGAGCCAAAGTCTATTCTCTATAGTTTATTGTCTATGGCGCGCGAATGTGGCGACGAATCACAGATATAACTAACAAATGAACGCAATGAATGGGTACTGGGTTTACGGGTGGTGTCGTCGGAATTGGGCGACGAGTACTGTGGCGCCGGAATTGCGCGTACTCAGCGTATATTGTCGCCGCATTTTAGGGTAAGAAAAGTAAAGCCGGTAGAACTTTGTGGTCAAGGCACGGGGCCGACACACGCAGAGTAGCAGAAGGCGGTCGAAGCTTCGAAAAAGCCGATCGCGTAAAGAAAGAGAGAGTACCCAATTTTAGGTTCAAAAATACGCTTTTTTATTGAATGAATAGCGAGTGAATAGCCCAGAAATCGTTATTTCTGGGGCTACAGCTTATAGATGATGTGTCTCTCGTTTTGAGAGCGAAATACATAAAATAGGCGCCCGATTTTGGCGCCGTTAGATGCGTTATGTTTTATAGAATTATACAATGAGTAAAACATAAGTAATAATGTAATTAATAATGAATTATATGTAAAAAACCTATTGAAATGAATTCATGCAAGTTATTGTAAAAATGTGTTGAAATGCGTTGAAATGTCTATTTCTGGGAATGAATGCCTAAAGGCATGTCATAAAAGGGTGAGTTAGTGTCCCAAATGTGGGTCAAACGCTAACTAGGACAATGTGTGTATATGTTTCAATGCTTTGTATGTGTATTCATAGGAAAAATGCATAAAATAAGACAATATTAAAACAATGATAAATGAATGGCAAAACAATGGTAAAAATGAGATAATGTTATTCCTCGAAAGTCTAAATCCTTCACACTTTATATTCAGAATGTTTCACAATCCGACAAACAATGAATTGTTAGCATTTGAATTGTTTGCTCACAATTACGGCCACAATATTAAGTCAATTGGATTTGAGTTTAGTTTGTGTAATATCACAGATAATATATTTAACAGATTATCGGATGGATTGTCACAAATGCCGGCATTAATTGCAATGAGAATTAATTTCGATGACAGAGAATGGGAGGAAATATTATCACGATTTGGTCCCAAATGTCCGCAACTCAAGAGTCTTACCATTTATTGCGGAATTTCGATTGGGATTAAGAAAGACTTTGTCCAACGAATCGGTGATAATTACAAGCAATTAAAGCGATTGGATATCAATGGACTTGTTTTCGAAGATAACATTCTGACCGCCGATTCATTGAAGTCATTGAAACGATTAACACATTTGAAAATAAATCAAGAATACAAATCGGAATATAAGGGAAGGTATGAAGTTCTCCATCCCATTACGCCTGTGTTTTTCACTAATATTCACATTCATTTACCACTACTTCTGGATCTAAGACTCAAACCGGTGGACATCACCGACGATGTGTTGAACGCGTTGTCAAGACTGACACAAATCCGTTGCATTCAACTCATGGGCACTAATAATAGCACACAATTGGCTGTCAATAATTTCTACACTAATTATCCTAAAGTGAATCTTCAATTAACAGCCGTAACCCAGTCTCGGGCCCACATCGGGGTCGCCACTTATCCCGTGCCCAGTATCGGGCTTATGAGGTGTATCGAAGGGTCTCAAAGCACATCTCATTGAAAGCAACTTTTTGTCAAAACTTGCGCCCCTACCCCTCACTTTATGTACACTACTATACACTACTAAATCATTTATTAAATCAGTTAAGTGGGTACGACCCCGATGTTGGTCCGACACGATGTTAGGCCTGTAATAGACAAGTCATACAAATGGACTTTTTATTGTGTTTTGTCTCATAAGACATGATTTAAAGTGTTGTCAATACTTCTAATTACTTTTTATTGCAAA